GACAAATTATTAAAGGAAAACATGGAGGTTGGTGAATGTTTGGTGAAGTATCCTGTTATTGTATTATTTCGATAATCACAATCAATTAGTTTATGGTTGATATTTAAAAATTGCAAACTTTAAAGATTTTTTGGTCTTAGACATTGTTTTCGATTGTACATTTTTGATTAAAACAGTAATATTTCAAAAAAAAAAAAACCAAACTTGGGTATAAAATTATAGGTATAATAACTAGATTGGACTACTGCACACTCGGTATCGCGCATTAAATAAGTCAAATATCATTGGTCGTGTATATAGGTGCCGTTCACAATTTCGTCCCTGTAGCGTGTACGTCGCCCGTAAGACGACCACACACACACACACACACACACACACACACACACACACACACACACACACACACACACACACACACACACACACACACATACACAACACACACATGCGCGTGTAATCTACGCACCAACAGTCCATCGTGTACACTCACGGATCAGAACAAGACCACGTCTCTCTGTGCAATGACGTATTAAGTCATCTTAATATATAACAATGTTAACCGGTGGTCAGGGTTTAAAGTGGGAAAAAATTCCAGAGGGGACTAATGTCTCCATATAGTTTTAAGCGTTCTATATATAATTGTATGTATAATGTCTAATGTATAAAAACCTAATTTGTTAAAGGGGGCGCTTTTGAACCACCGTCAGAGGTTTCAACTTTAACCCCTGCCGGTGGTGGGCAAATATGGAGTGCATAATAATGTAGGTATGTTCCTACCACGCTTAGTACTGGCGGCGGAGGCGGAGAGCAAATTCGATGTTTAAATACTCGTGCTTATACTTTATGTATTATTATACAACGTATCAAATATATTATAATATTCACCTAATATACTGGGTAATTCACCAAGCATGATCAAAACCCATTTTTTCTTTTAGTAATGAATTTATTCAAATTCTGATTTTTGGAATTTTTAAATATACTGAAAGACCATATTTTCAAATTCTCGAATTTTCGAGTACTACTTAAAAAGTGTCTTGCAGTGATACAAGCTTCTGTTTTTTAAATTAGAACTCAACTTTTTTACTTTAAACTAATTAGTGGATAATTTTTTGAAAATATTGTACCACATTCAAAATTCGAATGTGTAGTTTCTTAGTTATTAAAATATGTGTGTAATGGATATTACATATAGTCTTCAAAACTGGTTTTACATAAATATAAAATAGACCTAAAATTGGATCTAGTATTTATCATACCATTTTTAAAAATGATTAATGTCCATAGATTAATATTAATTACAACAATTTTCAAATCACCATAGTCCGCATATCTTATAAACTCATTACTATGGACCTTTATCAGTCCTTAGAACTCAGTTAAATCACTCAAAAACTACTAGTACGAATTTTGATTTTGATACTTTGGAAAATTTCAGACATATTATCTACTAATATTTATAGTTTAATAGGGGGGTTCTCGTTTGAAAAAAAAAAACAGAAGTTTGCATCACCGCGTGACACTAATATTTCGAGAATTTGAAAATATGGTCGTATATTTTATTTAAAATGTATTGAAGAAATCGGATTTTGAAAAACTGCATTATTGAAGAAAAAAAAGAGGGCGAGTACGGTTGGCGAATCACTCTGTATGTGAACAGCACTGTACAGTGTAGGTATACCTACCTATATATAGGCTCGGAATATATCCGACGTTTGACACGGCCGAACGGTTCACTTTGATGGAACCCCGGCCAGGGCACGCGTAACAAAATTACATATTTTGCATGCCTGTGCATTATTACGTGTCTATATATATATACGCATAATAATATTATACTACGTACTGCAGCTACTCTATAATATAATATTATGATCGGTTGTGTGCGCCGCTGTTGTATGCATGTATACAATAATAATAATAATAATAATAATAATAATATACAGTGCAAAACACACGGATAGGTTACCTATACCGACGTCGTGTGTACATTATGGTGGGCGAGGGTGGGACGGGACGACTACTGCGGCTGTAGCCGACGACGCGGTCATTGCAGCCCATATCGTTATTTACACGATGATATTGTTATTATTGTTATTATTACACCACGTGGTCTGACCGGCGATGCAGCGATGCACTTTACCGCCATCGCACTATGTACATATTATTTATCGTACTCGTACTCCACGGGTAGGTCTGTGATATATGTATAGGTGAAAAAAGGCGACCCGTGTAGCACACGCAAATTGATTAACATGTTTATTATGATGTCTTAATATCAAACAACAATATTATGTTATAATATGGTCGGGTAGTAGGCGTTGTCGAAGTAAAGTTGAATTTATGACGAACGCCGAGATCACGTCATGCAGTTCACCCGCACGTCTCAGGGCGGCGCATCGCATTCGATTATCGCGACCGGCGTTGTATCATGCATTATGCAGGCTGATTTTTCCGAGCGAAGGAAAGCATTTTCGTGATTTTTCTTTCAAGAAAATAATACATCTTTTGTCCTATCGGTTTTAGGCACCCGTCAAAAACGGACAAAGGCAGCGAGGTTTTGCATTCGATTTTTTTAAATATTTTTATTTTTAAATAACTTAGGGTTCAACAATATTAGCGTACATTATATGTTGTATACGAAAATCAGTTGAAAAATCAATTTTCCATAGATTGTGTTGTACAAGTTCAAAGCTGAGATATGAATACAATAATAAAAAACAAAGCAAAACAAGAAATGAACAAGGTGATGAAGTCACAAAAAATCATCCTATATGATATAATAATATGCTCTTAATATATTATTTTGACCTCGGTGCAGTATGTACACGTACATTATGTATATTTTGAACCATCTTGATTCTGTGTTCCCGATGACCCGTTACATTTATACCTGGTATTTGATAGTTTTTTTTTCCTATATAGTTTGTTCTTTACTTTTCAAATTGTGTGGCCAATTTTTTTTATTTTGATCGTACAATATTCGATTTAAACTCGATGTCACCGTACTATACGAACATCGACAATAATTCGATACTTATATTAAACCAACTATATAATATAATGGTCCTCGCATTTTATTTGGATCTATCAAACTACCATTCTTACGGGACCGCTGGTTCGGATGAGGCTGAGAAACTAAAAATATAATATTGATGGTTTCCATATACACGTTTAAAAAAAAAAAAAAAAAATAAGAATAAAGACCTTCTCTGTAGGTAATAGCAATCATTTGAATCATAAACGCGTATAAAACCTCAATGTATATAATATGTTTTTATAATTAGAAAATTAAATTTGTTTGTTTCTGCACCATCATAAAAATAAAAAGTAACTTTTCGTACGATTTACCACTATTAAAAATAAAATTATCCAATATAAGCTAAACTGCTATTTGTATATTCCCTTTTAACGGTTCTTAAAGATTTTATTGTTCAATTGTAATAACGCAGTTCAAATGCAGCTGCTAGAATGGTATTCTCAACTTTCAAAGCGATGATTATTGCACAAGATAAAACTAAACGTTATCTCTGTCGACAATTAAAAAATGATAACGATATTATGTCTCGTACATTATACACATTAAACAGTATTACAGAACTTCAAAATTTAAACACAACTGACGTACAAAGATGTTGTATATAATAGCGTTGAATATTTTATTGCATAAGTTTCGTCCAAACAACCAATTTAAATAGAGAATCATCCAAAGTCGTTCATGATGCTAACTTTAACAGGAACAATATATTATTATCATAATTTTATATGTACTTCATAACTGTGGTGTTTGATTTAGGTTTTTGGGTTGCAAAGAATCCAAACAAATTACTCTTGAATTAAAATTTTTGCTAATTCCTTCATATAATTGTTTGTTTAAAATACAATTTCGTTACATGTAAGAAATCAATTTCCATAAAAACAACTCCTCAAACTAACGAAGGAAAACAAAACACATTTCGGGAAATACTGTATGTATAACCAGTTTTGGATAAAATCAATTTTGTTTATTCGTCGTGGTAAAAAAAAACTTAAGATACATGTAATTTTCATGAAATGTGTGTATCAATATTCCTACTCACAAAATAAGTTAAACTCTTCCTGAGCTATTTTTAACTTAAAATTCAAAACATTTAAAAAAGGACGTTCTTCATAAGACTTTGTTACTGGAATTTAATTACACAAATATTATTTATGAACGTATTTAGTTAAAAATTTAAAAAAATTATTTGTACATATCAACGCGTATTAACGATTTCATTTATAAATAATTTAAAAACGAATAAGTTACTTGAAATGTTCACAAAAATATATAAGTATAACCATTTTCTTTACACAGTATATTTATAAAAAAAATTTAACTCTTTGAGCTATTTATAAACATAATTTGGTAGTTTTTATATTCTTTAAATATAGATGAAAAATTGATTTCTCCATCTAAAACCTCGACAGTTTAATTATTAAGCTAAAATGTGGTTGAACTTAGATATTTTAACGAATAATACACATTACAGTGACTTACTCGATGCCTAGGTGCAGTCGATACCTACTTTAGCAGAGTGGATATCAAATATTCCCACTTTTTTTTTTTTTATCAGGAACTTAAATGTAGTAACAAAATAATATTATCAAATTTTAAAGAGATAATAATGAATTAAATTAATTTACGACTAAGCTGTACCTAAATTGCATACTCATATCGCCGTGTTAAAAAAAACCCAATATCAATATTAGTTTGATGTTTAATATAATTCCTATATAATTCCTACTACAACATAAAGATTATTTAGAAATGTGTCCATATGGAAAAAAAAATATATGTCACTCATCGGGTTACCGACTGTTAATTACATTTTATAATTATAATTTGAATATACTGTAGTAATACTATTACACCAAATTTATATTACAACAAACAGTTATGATTTTTATTGTCCACTAAGTATCTTATTATTTTATAATATATTGAAATAGATCTGAAAACGAAATAAAACTCACCAAAATACACATTTATCTCATTAATAAATGATTTATTGAATTAAATATAATTAATTTTCTATCGATTAGGATTAGAAAGTATGAGGCAACGCGTACGAGCATAACCGTAACACAGTTAATTTATGTATTATTTTTGTCAAAAGACGGTGGATGTAAAGCCGTACAACTTTTGTACTTCTTTTGTGTGTTCAATTTGTAATCAGTTCTTTCTTTGTCGTCCATCTTATAGAATCCATTAGTGTGCTCCGAAATAAAACGTAATTCATTCATGGGTCCATCGCTTCTAAAATGCCCATTTGTATCTTTTAGAATTCCTAGGACCTGTAGGAAATAAACTAATTAGTATGATTCATAATAATATGATATCGTCATGTAACTATATTAATAAATTATTATCCTTACTGAGTTATTCATTTTGCCTTTCTACAAATAAATATTTTATAGTTTTACAATGAAATTATTTAGGATGGTCTCTAAAAACAGTGTAAATTGGAGTTTAGTGAGCCACGACTTATATATTTTAGCTTTCTCAAAACCCCCGATGTCTCAATAAGTATTCTATAAAAAAAAGTCTGCAAAAATATTAACAAAAGTAAATGTAAAATAATATTATAAAAATTATATCAATTAAGCATTGTTTGTCATAGATGAACTTGCTGAACATTATAAATCAAAACATTTAGGATGTCATGCAATTTCTTGTAGTTTTCAGTAAATATACTATTAGTCCTTAGAAGTAAAATCATTATCGAATCTACTAATGTGTCTTTGCCACATTTAAATTACAAAAAAAAAATATCAAACCTAACCAGAAAAATATAATTTATAAAAAAAAAATAAATAAAAATGACACCTCGATACCATCGCAAAACCAACATACCGCAAATAATCTAAACACAAACAGTTAAAAATATTAGTCCCGTGGGAATGGGTCCGACAGTAATATTTATTATTAAATACTGAGTATTCGAATAGTATAGCATTATCGTGATTCAAATATGTAAATTTCAATCGTTTAGATTCGATTTGAAAAAACAAAAAAATGTTACAATACTTACAAAATTTCCGCGTTTTGAAAGAGAAAATTGTAAAAATTGTATATAGTTCACATCGGGTAAGTGCCTCAATAATAATACTACAAGTAACGTTGTTAATTTATTGTTTGTCTCAAACAATTTCTTTCGATCACTTGGCCAGGTGATTATTTTATTGGATCACAATAGCAGCCCAGGTTCGCATACAGTGACGGCGCAATTGGGATTTTAAGCGTTAAGTATTTTATGATATAAGGTGTTCACGAATTTTTATCAACAAACCGTGATACCACAATAAATCGTATTCTACCTCTACGTATAGATAAATAATCATAAGACCTTCATATTACAGTTCAATTAATCCTGTAAAACGCTTTACGTGTAATTTTGCCCGAATTGAGAATTCTCGACTAATTCTGTATTTAATCTTGCAATCTCGCATCTGCATTCAATCGTAATGTCAACGTATATTGAGCAACAGATTATTGCTATACATTACGTCCGAGTGTTATGGCGTAGGCCCCTGTAATACCCAAGTGTGCGTCTTATATTTACATTCGCCGGAGATGATTAACGACGGAAGACTGTAATAATACACATCATTCATTACTCGGAAACAAGCCTGCAGTATATTTATGATTTAATTAGGACGTTTCAGTGCAGTGTAGTAATTAATGAGACCATACTATTAAAGGTTAATCATACGATAAATACCATATTATGCAGTCAATTATTATATAATATCATAACCCATTCTAATATTTTTTAGAACCTACTTCGAAATTATGGACTTTTTTCTTTGCCGTAATAAATTTTCATCGTTTATTTTATTTACAGAACACAAATACAACGTTTATATTATTTTGTGGTATTATAGTTTTTATAGTTTTTATATGCATATTATATAGCATACTCAAGTCTCTGTACCTACATAGCTCTTGTACAATATATATTTTTTTTTTTACAATAAATGACATTGACAACGATTTCGTCTCAATTTATCATTGTGATTTTATGTCGGGTTTATCACGTTCATAATATTCCAAATGCGGTTTTTTAGGGAAGGAAAAATTTTAAAAGCTACTTGGGATTTTGAAAATCCGGGAAAAAAAGAAAGTCATTTTTTCAATTATAATTGCCATTGATTTTGCATATTGTAGGTATAGTATAGGTAGTAATAATAGAAAAGTAGTAATGGCCACATCTAACATATTAAACAATATTGATCGAATACAATAATGTTAATATTTGGTCATTTTATTGTTATCTTGCGTTTATCTTCAATTCAAATTTGCTCAAAAACTATACTCTGGACCGTTTTAATTAAAGGTTATATCAACACATTCCTTGAGATTTGGAGGATGTTTGTATAGCTTATTTTTTTTAACCACTACAGGTAGTTTTAGAGTAGCTCAAACATTTTCAGCTTGCAAAAAAGGAGTTATAAACGTATTTAACAATTACTGTTGCACCGTCTGACGAGCGTGAAAATTTAACTTCTGCATTGAAGTCCCGAGGTGATATTTATAATACCTATGACTCATTTTTCGTTTTTAAATGGTACTCAATATTTTTTCTGTTATAGTTGAACAGATACATCTGAAAAACGACTATGCTAGTTCCGTTATACATATATAATATAAACTTAATTATTATTGGTTTGGTTATAATAATATAATAGGCGCGTCGATACTGAATGCCAGATGTTTTATTATTTAAGCAACAATGTTCAAAAACAATTATTTACGTTGTTGCGTTATAGTATGTGTTGATAATTTTAAGCACGTAAGAGCGATATTATAATATTATAAAAAGGTATACATACTCATAGAAACTGCAAAACAGTGTTACGTACAACGAGTCTTTGTGGGTATAACAATTAACAAAACAAAACAATATATTATGATCTATAAAATAGCGATTCGACCCGACCTTGTTTTCATAGCATAATATAACTGTATAATGACGTATTGTACAAGTATACAGATTGAGAAAAAAAAATATTATAACGTCGGCAATCTGCTCGGTGATTATAACTTATTGGAACATACTGCCATTCACATATTATATTGTACAATTAAAAATGTGATTCAGTTTATATGAATATCAATTGTTTTCCAACTTATTGTACACTATATTGATGTTATCAAACATAGTAAGCAATATGTGAAAACAAAACCGTTAAAGGGTTTCTAAGTTTTAGGTAATACGCCGAACATGAAAAGCAACAGGCTTAAATAATAGGTACTCTGTTTAATTTTTTTATGTCGTAGATGGACTTTGTTAATTCCTGCAATAAACCGATTTCCTCTTACCAGGATAACTAATGTACCTGATAATTGTTTTTATTCAGGTTCCTTTTACCCGGTACCTACATATAATTAATTGTATCGTAATGCCACGAGCCTCTCCAGAAAATAACGATTTCATTTTATTTTATTTTTGTCTCTATCCATTCATTGATCCAATAATATTTTAACCGAAATCATGTAGAATATATATAAATGCACTTTCGTGTAAATTATCAACCCCTCGAAATGTATTGAAACGTAATACAATTTACTCTGATTAGAATTTCTTACACAAAATTAACTTTACAATAACAATTACAGTTATTATTATTATTATGCATTTTCCATGATTATTTCCATTCATTAGATAAATTAAATTTGTCTAGTTAACGAATATGTGTTTTTTTTTTTTTCAACAGCATAACTCTATAACCATGCACCTTATGAGGATTTATACATCATAGAAAAAAGCATATATTAAATAACATTATTCAAAAACCTTGAGTAATCAAATTCAAGTTTGTCCAATACAATTGTATAACAAATGATTACAGTACGATAAAAATAACAACACTTTATTGATATCTTACAGTATTTCAAATCAATTACCAGTAAGTTAAATTATTACTATAATATTGTATTCGCGAGAGCAGCACGTAGTTAAACAGCGTTGAATTATGAGTTTAAAATACGTGAGCACGTGAAGTGGTGCATTCTATAGACATGGAGTAAATAATAATAATAATACCCAAGGGCACGCAAATGAGTATAATATCACACACCTCATTGATCGTGTCATAAGCGTGTTAATAATTTGTTATGTTTTCAGGGAGAAAAAATGCATAGGTACTTACTAATGACGAATGCTTTCGACTTTGTGAATAACTTTGTAATTAAGTTCGTTAATGAAACCTCACATCACTTCTACTTTGTCATAGGGAAAAAATGATGTGCAGATAGATTATGATATAATTATGTTTCTGTGAATTAAGCGCTCGATACTGATGATATTATTCACTATAGGAAGTGCAATACCTAGAAATCACAGGTCATCTGCCGGTACTGTGTGTGTGGTTCTAAACTGCAATCACGATTTTTTTTTACCACAATGTGTTGACGCAGTCGTGTCAATTTAATTCATTATTACCAGATAGTTTTAAAAGTCAATAAAAATGAGGTGACATGTTAAAATAAATAAACTTCAGGACTATACACGTGAACGTTCTTTGTTATTACAAAACAGTTGTTCTCGCCTTCGTCATATATTATAATCACAAGCTGCCTAAATGCTCACGTAAGCTAAAAAATCGACAACCCAATACATTTTAATTCGATAGATTATATTATAATTGTAATGCTTTTAATAGGTACTCAAGGAAATCATTAAATTTATAATAAATACAATCAATAATTAAAATATTTTTTTTAACAAAAAAATTTGTTGGATGATTTTCATACTATTGTCTGTTGTGGAAGTTTATTTACGTTGTTGTGGAAGTTTATTTACGTCTGAATTCTAATTTGTAATATCTTATTGACTTATTAGTTCCAATGAAGCTGAAGATTCGCTTGAACTATAGAATCTAAATAATTTGTTAGTTTTTAGTAATAACTTATTTCACTTTTAAGTCACAATAGAAATATTTTCTCTTACAATAATATTAATTTTTAGGACAAATAGAAAAAAAAATATTAATAACGATGTATGAATTGAAAATTTAAACATGCTTTCATTTCTTTGACTACAATCAAAATTTCATTCAAACATTTGTTTGTATTCGTTCACGTAATTTCGGTTGTAGAAACAAATATAAGTTTGAATTTTATTGAACTTGAAATGGTGTAAATTTAACATTAATTTCACAACGAGGAGAGACTGAATAATTGACATGGAAATTTCTGGTTATAGAAATTAAAATTTACTAAAACCAAAAAAAACTACTCTGAGTTCATCTTTTCAGAAATAAATAGTATTTTCTCCATCTAAATTTTACGGAAAGTAAAATTATGCGAGTGGCTATTTTTATAGTTGAGTACATCTAATATTTACAAAAGTATATTTTTTCAGTAAAAGTTTCATTTTTAATAATATCTACTTCAATTGTTTAATTTATTGTTCAAATTAAGACGTTTAAACCGGCAACAGTTTTTCCATACTTTATTCTGGAATTTTAACGTTTTTGAAAAACTCTTTGTGGTTTTTCCCAACTATCAAACTTACATTGTTAAAAAAGTCAAACATTTTTGCATGAATGCATTTTCAATGCCAATTGTTAGCTTATCAAGTCACATTGTTTATGCATACAAAACGAGATTTATAAAAGTATTCAATCAGGTGTTTGTGATCATAAAAAGTTTAAGAACCACTGGATTGAAATTAGATTTAGGCACTACATACCTGTGACTGGATTTGGGCTGGCAGATCCTGTTTGCCATTGCGGCCCAAGACTTTGACGATGTCGTCGATGTCATCTTCGGAAGCCCCGGCCTTCGTGAGATTGTCTACCACAGATTGGAGCACGGGCATTTTCTTCAGGTCCGGTTCTGTTTCGTCTGCTGTCTTCATTTCGTCCTTGTGCAAGATCACGTTGACGAGCGCGTATCCGATAACTGTCCTGACCGCTTCCTGGTATACCCTGGAAGTACCCAGGTGCTTAAGCGGACGGCTGTACAGGAAAATGACTTCATTCGGTCGTTCCACATTTTTTCCTAGCAGGCGGCTGGTGGACCCTATCACGTTGGACATGGCATTGCCAGTCGCGTCCACCATCCGCTTCAGCGGCCGCAGCGGCCTGACGGCGTTTCCCACAGCACCGACCACCTTTTGAGTCATGTACTGGCCACCATCCGCCAGCTTCGACGGTATCCTGTCCAGAACAGACAACAGTTAGGATGTGGTATAAGGTCGAGGTACCCATTTTTTATAGCAATAATTCGTTTAGTTCACGAGTTTACAAAAAAATTATAACATTACACTAAATTAAAGTGATGCAGAATGATATTGATATGGAACAAATTTCCAGATATCGATGTAAAGTAAGTAATAATAACATAATTATTGCAATAGTAGTTATATTTGGACAGTGAAGATATTTTTCAAATATTTTTCAAATATTTAATCTGATATCAAATACATTAACAAAAAAAAATTAGCCAAATATAATATTTGAATATCATTAATTTTTTTTTAATTTTAACATTTTTATGTATTTTATTATTTATTATGTTTTTTTTTTTTTTGATTTTGTTGGCATACAATTAAATAATACATTTATGAAACTTTTATTATAAGTACACATTTCAAAGCTAATTTTTAAAATAGTGAGTAGAATGATAATTTCAAATTTGTATGTAATATAAACCCGTTTTACATCATTATGATTTCAATAAAGTAAGCTTTATTTTGCTTCTTTCTACAAAATTAATTTTTGTTTGCTTTTTTTCCCATTTGGTCCTTTTTTATTTTTTTGCATAATTATCATGAAAATTTAACTTAATTTTGTGTATATTATAGTTTGACTGTATACTATTATTGAATAAAAATAATAAAACCTGTTTAAAAAACAGTAATAAAATAGAGAACCGATAAAATAACTATCCTTGTTGTGCAGGAATAATATTGTAGTTTTATCATAATGACCATAAATACAGTTTATGATTTAAATAAATGGTAAATTACTAGCAAATTCAATGCTGAAGTTGATCGATAAATGTCAATCATCTAGTCTAGAGTTCTATACAATTTAATTTCAAATTTGAATTGGACTTTAAAATGCAAAAAAAAATTCAAATTAAAAAAAATCATGAGATGGTTCGGTGAGATTTTATATATGACTGATGGAAATATTATATTTTGTAAAAAGTAGCACTCAATAGGATGAGTGTTTGCTTAAATAACTTGACCATACAATTATGGCCGTAAATTCGTTTAAATATATATAATTTAATGTGTAAATGTAATAAATGCTGTTTTTAATTGTGTTAGTTACTTGGTTATCTAAATTGCTTTTTTTAAGGATCTTCAAAACCAAGTCCTTGTATTATGAGTAATAAAAAATTGGTAATAAATTTACTTTCGATATTAGAATATTTATATTTGATGTCAATATCGTTTGTTATTTGAAATCGCCATATGACATCGTTATAACCTATGTAGGTACTTATATAGCTATATGAAACGATATTTATACAATACGAAACATCATACAGCGTCAATAACATGTCATAACTTATAACATTATAGTTATGACACTAACGTCAGTAAAAAATTAGAATCACATTGATATACCTTTAAATAGGTTTTATAAATGGAAATATATCAACAATACCTGGCCAAGCTTCTTGTCACTGTTGCGCATCTTGACACCACTCGGTTAAAGAATCCACCTTCGACATCGACTAGAAGGATACTGATTGTCATGCAAATTAACTGTGAAGTGATAAATATTGATTAAAATTATAAATAACTCATTACTTCGAAACAACAACTATTATAATTAAACCCCAGATATGTTCACGCCAAATTGTACTTATTCGTTGTACAAAATATATACTATACATTTTAATATCTATATACAACGGAGATAATAAAATGTTTACAATATGACTTTTTGTTCTAAACATTATCATACATATATATTTTTCTTAAAAAAAATACCAATTTCTCTTTTCTTTGAATTTAGTTATGTTTTATATAAGTGCTATAAAAAATTATTGTAAAAACAATGTGATATGTGAATTATTGTAATATATTATACTAGCTGCCCGGACTTCCTCCGGAAGAAATTATTTTTTTATAATTTAATTTAAAAACATAAGACTATTTTTTGGCTATACAAATAGTACAACGATTATAAAATTTAAAAAAAAAAAAAGAAACAGACATCGTTATCGATGAATATATGAAAATAATTGGTATTTAGTTAATTATTATTATTATTATTATGAGGGTTCAAAACCGGTTTCCTTCGTCTCCAAAATCAAGTTAGATTCTTATATATATAGATTATTGAATTGGGAATGATTTAAGCATGAAAATTGTTTTGTATAATTACCCCATCTCCACGTGAAAAATTGGTACATTTAAAGCCTATTTTATCATTTATCTAGGTACGAGAGGAACTATAATTATCACCACAGACCAAAAATTATTTACTATTTAAATAAGTTGAATTGAGTAAATCGATAGTTGATAAATTATTGAGTTAATAGGCAGAGGTACTATTGGAAACAAAAAATAGTAAAACAATTGACTGATGACTATTTACCGTGATTTGAGCAAATATCTGTTCGACATTAAGAGTATCAACATGTAGCATAGGGTTCATGTACATTCATAAAAAATGAATAAAGTATGGATCATTCTGTACATTGGAAATAGAAAGCTTATAAATTCCTATGTTGCCCGTGTTAGATAAAGAGAGTCAACTTATAATTTGAATTCTCTCAACGTTGATATTTTTACAAAAATAACTCAGATAAAATGATACAAAATATGTATTTAGTACCTAAAGGTTATAATGAATACTGTGTATAAACTGCAATGACAGTATAATTAACATTGATTTATTTGCATAGAACATTTTGATAAGGACTTATACATTTATTTAGATGATTTTTAGTAATTGAATTTGCAACAAAATATTACGATATTCCTACGAAAGCATTCAGTTTTGTAATTTCATTAATTAAAACACCTAAGATATATTATTTTATTTTAATTGTATTGTTATAGGTTGCAAGACTTTTTTTTATGTACACCACAGTTTAACATATACATTTATCAAGTACCTATTCAAATAAATGGTAATAAATATTATGTGAAACAAAAAAAAATTGTTTCAAACATAATTCATAATATCATGAACACGTATCTGTACTCAAGTCGTTTCTACTAATATGGTTTTATAATTATTGCAAATTTCATTATTGTTACGTTCCACCGAATTTCAGTTAGGTAGTAGGTAGGTAATCGAAAGTATGTAAAGGCTGACAAATGGAAAAAATGGAAATTTAGTACAATTTCTGACATAATGTAAGTCGTGACATGAATCCAAAATTAGTTTCACACCATCTCTTCCGGTATGTACCTACGTGTTTTTTCGACACTCCAAATGACTAATGCACCAATAATGTCGAATAATTGTTTTACCATTGGAGGTTTCCAGAAACGTTTCATTATTCTGTATTATAATATACTATTATTCTCAACCACAAACTTTACAATACAGTAAAAAATAAAGTTGTATTTAGGTAAAATAATCAGATATTTATATGCGTTGGATTAAAATTTTATCGGCGTTCACTCGACGTGTAGACATAACAATAACTACTGTAGCAGGTCTTACACTTATTCATTACAATTACGATTTTCAGTACCTACGTGTCTATAACAACTCTACGACGTTGTCGATATTTAATGTAAGCAAAAAATAAAATTAAAATAAAAAAATATTAGTAGGTAGTTTGAAAAATCTTTATAACAATATTTTGAATCTAGAGAGAAGATGATGAATTTACTCTGTTTAGCGTTATCCACACAGAGTTTCTGAAAAACTAGAAAAGTTTCGAACGCATAAAGATATTTTGTTTTAAAACATTTATAAACTACGATTTATTGACTAAAATGATATACAGCTATAAACCTTGACAAAATACATAGGTATTATCACAGTTCTGTTATTATCCTAGTACTACTTCTGATTGCTTGATTTTTGTCCATGTTATAATATATATATTATGCATATATGCATGGATATGATTGATCGCCAATAATAGAAGTGGAGCATTGCGATTTAAGTGAATATAGTAAAAAAAAGGTAGTGGAATGCGAATTAAAAAACTATGATGACACCTATCTATTTTGTCATGCTATAAGCTAGATTAAAATATCCGTTGACCACTAACATTCGGTCATAAGTTCATAACGATAGTGTTAAAACTTAGTGTCTGTAGCAATCATTGATTTTTTCTGACGACTGTAATAGGCAATTAAAAAAATAATAATGAAAAAAACAAATTTGTAACTCATTTATAAGAACACAAGAGTCGGTGAGCTTGAAGCTAATTCACGAGGATGCAAAAAAGACGATAATTTGATTTCAAGGAAATGTTGTTTTTTCATACTGCAGGTCCATTGCAAATCTCTATAACACAAGCCATTCAAACCTTAATTTATTACGATCTGCAATAAAAATATATCAGTCGCACACATACTAATAAATTCGCATTAGACGTACTTCGTACAAATACTTCGTTATGTGTTTTACCTCAATTAAAGTTATTTTATCGTGCAATAGTGCGGACTTTGCGGTACCTCCGTAGATGTCGCAATATACGGACATTTATGCGATGTCGCATATTATGGTGCTACCTAACCGGTGCAAAAAATTGGTTTGTTTAAGTGTTGTACCGAACGTTATGTTTGCTTCAAGTATTCACGGATAACATCTTAACGATTCCTTACTTTATGTAGCAAGCATTTTTTTTTTTTTAATCAATCTAAAATCAAGTCATTTCGATACATTTTAAGATATATTTACGTATTTTATCGTTTGGTGGCTAGTTTTATTAATATTATATAGACGTTTTGATTCCATGTGGCCACACCACATCATCAAATATATCAACGTATAACATTGTAATACACAGTGTGATACGATTGGTAAGAAGATTGTAATACATTTGTAAAAATGTGATATAAATCCATACCTAAATTCGTCGAAATACGTGAACAGTAAACACTAAAAAAAAACGTCATCATTTTTTCTCCTGTTATACAATAATAAACAGTAAAATACAACCGATTTAAATAACGTGAGACTTATACAGCAACACAATAGAATTAATATTTTTTGTTCGTTTAGGTTTTGTTCTAAATGTCGTCGTAAATTCAACAGACTTTTATTTTGGTCGTTTTCCAATAGTTTTTCAGGGAAAATTAAAAAAAATATATCTATTGGGAAATTCTAAAAAAATACGTTTTTAAAAGTACCATATGCGTCCAATTTTCAATCGGTAGAAAAAAATATGATATGAAACTTTAAGAGTAGGTACTCCAAAACGTGTTCTCAGAGAAAAAAAACATTGTTGTAGAGACTCACCAAACAGAATCCATAACAAGTTTTTCGTTGATCACAAATTTAAACTATAAACCAAGGTCCAGGCATACTCTCCTTCCAATTTTTCACGCCAAACACGTAAAGCAAATGTCTTAAACCAATTTTCAAAAACGAAATTACATTTTTAATGTTGGGATTTGGGAATCAATAAATAGCTTCATAAATACAAAATATATATTTATTAAATTGATTTATTGTATATGTACAACAATTATAGAATATTTTAATACTTATACAATCGTTATTTGTTAAGGCTTTTATTCAAAATAGAGACTTGTTAACATTGCATAAAGTCCAAGGCATACAGAAAGCATAATATTTAATTCAAAATGATGATTTTCTGAAATCGAGTAAACAAAAAAAAAAAACATTTTTTGCACTATTATCAATGTCACACAACACGAGTTTTTAAAAAAATTACCAATTATATTATATTTTATATGTACTGAGTGGATTATAGAGTATGAGCTTATTTTGTGTGTCTAACGTAAGGAGCCGTGATAATTTCAATTTTCAAACTTGAGGATAGTTTTTTTTTGCAAAACATATCTAATTGGTACATTTCTGGGGAGTTGAAATTAAACAATTCTCTATGCTTTTTAAAATAACCGGAACAACTATTTATAACTAATTGTTTTTGTAAGCATTCAAAGTTCACATTTTGACAAAATTCGTTAAAATCTCAAAAACTTAAAATTAATTTTAAGTTGAAAGTGCACACTTTTTAATTTCAGTATCTAGGTCTTGAACAATTTGATGTGAAATTGTTCATAAAGTGTTCTTACTGAAATAAAAGAAAACTTTAGAGTGAAACCACACTGCTTTCTTGTAAGCGTTTGAAGTTCAGATTTTTATTCTTGAAAACTTCAATTTTCCAATATTATTTAAATTATCAATTATAATATAGTATGACATTATCAAGATATTTAGAATATTAATATTATATTATTGGAAATACATTATAATGCATGCGATATTTTTGGAAAAAATGATTTCAAATCTCAGTACTACTAATAGAAAAATAAATGATTAATAAAGATAAAAAAAAAAAATACATAAAATATTCTTAAAAAGACAGTGGCATACGTTTTTGACTCAGAAACATTTTTTTTACCTACACATGCCATGGTTTATTATTAAATTCAATTATACACATCAATTACAGTGACCTACTCATTCACATAGTACGCTTAAAATCTGCTATACAGCAGATCGACTTTTTAAAAATTTTTTCTTTCATTCGTATTTTATTATGTCCACTCTTGAAACTCACTCGAATAAAAAAATTAAATGTCTAATTTATGCTCAATACTCTGTACGAATTACTTTTTAAAG